TTACATGACGGTCGGACTCGACGATTTCCATTATTTTATCGACATTTTCGACAATTGACCTTCCAGAGCGTGGTGCATCTTTGACATCAAATTTACCGGAACAGAATCGACGAAACCAAAATTGCGCGTGATTGAGTGTTGCAGTATCAGGACCATAAACACTATTCACATTTTCAGCCGCCTGGCTTGCGTTTTCGCCTTTATCGAAGAAAAACTGTAAACTATGGCGTATTTTCTCTTTGCTGGTGTCCATCTTTGACGCGCGCTCAAACAATACTGAGTCAAACAATGACAAAACTGTCTGAGAAGTTTTTTTAGTACGAAATCTTGTGGTAATGTCACTCAAACATATACGTAGCACCTATGTATGTTGTACCACACAACTCTAAGCGCGTACATGCTCGGAATGCAACTCTGGACAGGCACACATGCCACATATAAGAACGAATGCTCAATTGTGTCAATTAACAAAAGAAATATATATTTAAGTGTTGACACAAACGTTTTCTTTGGTGGGCTCCGACTACCACGCAACATGAAATAAATGAACAAGAGAAATGAGATCGCACGCACTTAGCAAAAAGGAACAAAAGGAACGCAGTCTTCACAAATTCACGAGCTTAACCTAAGTGCTGCTACTTAATTTTAACACACGGTATATTGGCGCAGAAAAAAAAGAACGTTATCACGGCTTGTGTGGAGGTCGCAGTACAAAACAAAACAAAAGAGAGAAAGGATTTATTCCACACAAGCAAGGTTGAGTACGTGTGTACCTGTGTACGAACACGTGTACAGATAGGCACAATGCTAAGACTGTGCACACAAGTGATCACGGGGGAGCACGTGATTGACACCGCGCCGATGTACCGTGTGCGCACGTAGATCTGTCCGCGGCACGTGGACAGCCCGTGTCCCCAGTAAGCAAAATGAGCGCAACTTGAGCGCAACTTGACGTCAATTTTGTTCAACAAACCACATCAAAACCGTAGCCATCTGCGTCCTCATTCGGCTACGGATTTGGCATCAAGCCTTGACGTCAAGCATTGAGTGCAACTGTAAACCAACCTGCGCGCAACCGTTGCGCTCAACACGTGACATCAAGTTGGCGGCAACACCGCAGCAACGGTTGCGCTCAAGCGCTGAGCGCAACTTGACATCAACTCAACATCAACGGTTGAGCAAAATCAGCTGTTGCTTTTAATGAAACGCATAGGTATATATAATCTATATTGTTGGACTGTGATTTTGAAGAACATTCAAGAGGATATCTGTACATATATATTTTTTTATTTGATACAAATGTGAAATATACTTTGTCCGGTTTGCGCCACCACATCGACAGTGCTTGCTAATGAATATATACTTTTTTTTTTTTTTTTGATAACCCAGGGGAAATGCGTTACGCATTCCCCGGAGGCTCGGGTAAGCCTCCGGGGGTATGTGGGACTCCCTCCCCCTAATAGATGTGAGAGGTATACCCCCTGGGGATGTCCATCACGTGCGCCATTATTCGAGGACCCCCCGGTACACTTTCAAGTATTCTTCAGGGGGCCCTCGGCGCCTTCGCGCTTCTTCCCGCGCCGGCCTAGTTGTCCGGCGCTTTTGTATTCCTTGTTAGCTGCAAGGAGGGGACACCTTCCTCCTCGCAGCCCCACCCTCCGAGTCGGGAGGTTGGGATGGGCCGGGAGCGGGATTACCCGCCCGCTCCCGACCCCCTCCCCTGTCCCCAACCCTGGGGGGGGGAGGTTAGGTCTGCCACAGAGCGCGGCTGACCGTTACCCCCCCCCGAGGTTGGAGAGTCCGCCAGGGGGCCGCCCCTGGTACTAGGCGGCCCGGGCAGGCGCACTGATCGCGCCCGCCCTCATGTCCGGGCTTAGGCCGGGACACGAATTAGGGCCCTTTTGGCCCTCCTCGTTGCCGGACGGTGCCACCCCCGAGAGTGGGGGAGTGGTTACCCCTCAGAACCTCCCGGAGACGAACACCGCCCGGCTTACCCTTATCTGACCTCGCCAGCTCCCCCAAGCGGTACAGGGGGTGCTGGTGGGCCCTCAAACGCCGTCTGCCCCTCCTCGGCCTCAGTACCCGGGGAGGGGGGACTTCCTCCTCTTCCTCATCCCTCCCCTGCCCGACCGACGGGGCGGGGGAAGAGGGGGGAGAGGGGGATGGTGCGACCCCCACCTCTCCACTCCTCACGCGTTCGACGGCCTCCTTCTGCGACATGACGTCACGACAGAAGGAGGCTACCGCCTCCCAGGCTTCCCGGCTCTCGAGCATCTTTGGTACGATGCTCGGGAGCCGGAGATCCTGGCCGACCACTGTGGTAAGGACTCCGCGTTCCTGAGCCCACGCTGGGCACTCCTCCGCGGAGTCCTCACCAGCCGCGCAGTGGTGGCACTGTGCCGTGCGCTCCTTGCCTATTCGACACAGGTATCGACCGGAGCAGCCGTGCCCGGTCAACACCTGTGTCATATGGTATGACAGCCCGCCATGAGCCCTGCCCACCCATTGCGGCAGGCAGGGACGGATGGCCGCGATGCTCCGGATTCCCGGCGTGTTCGGGGCCCCCAGCGATCTTTGCCATCGCCGGAGGGCCCTACGCCGGGCCGAGTCGCGTATCCTCTGCACTTCCCTGGCCGTGACCAGATGGTCGCTCTCTCGCCGACGGAGCTCCGCGACCCTGCTCTACGTTTCAGCGTACAACCGCGCCAGGAGCTCCGCCGGTATCATGCCGGCCAGGGCCGTGACGGCTGTATGCGACACCGTCCTATACGCCTTGACTAGGCGGTTGGCCATTAGTCGCTGCGCACCGTGCAAAATTGCTACAATGCGCCGCTTGGCCCCCGCCTCTTCCGCCCAAACTGGCGCCCCGTAAAGGGCGATGGACGAGACGGTATTCGCATACAGCCTGCGAACCCGGTTGTCCGGACCACCGATGTTGGGGAGGAGGCTGCACAGTGCAGCCGCGACTCTCCCTAACTTGGGACCCAGCCTCTCAAAGTGAGAGGTGAAGTCCCACTGGCCATCCAGGTGGAGCCCCAGGTATTTGTCACCTCCACGCGGGCTGACTCTACCATGATACTGGACCTCGGGGGGACCCCCGCACACCGATCGTACACGAACATACACTCGGTCTTTTGGGGGGCCACCCGTAGGCCCAGCCGCCGTATGGAGCGCACGGCACACGCTACGGCTACGTTGGCTGCAGCCGTAGCCTCCTCCCAGTCGGTGCCCCCCGCCAGCACCAGGGTGTCGTCTGCGTAGCAGACCATGGTGCAGGCGGGAGGGAGGGCCGTTCGCAAGACGCGGTCGTACGCGAGGTTCCAAAGTAGGGGTCCAAGTACCGACCCCTGTGGAACCCCGCAGTACATGGCCCGTCCGCATTGGAGTCCAGCGGCGTTGCTGAACTCCAATTTCCTCTCCCGGAAATAGTCCCGTATAATATGGACCAGGTAGAGCGGGAAGCGGTGAAATCGCCGCCTCTACCTGGTCTCAGGGGAGGGTATTAAAGGCGTTGGAGATGTCTAGCGACACCGCCAACGCCACCCCTCCCCTCTCCGCCACATGTTGTTCCGCGAAGGACCGCACTTTCAGGATCGCGTCCACTGTTGAGCGGCCCCCGCGGAACCCGTATTGCTCCTCCGACAAGTCGGGACCATCCCGGGAAAGGTGATGGACGAGGCGGACGGCAATCACTCTCTCGAAAAGCTTGCCCACCTCGTCCAACAGGCAGATCGGCCTGTATGCGGACGGGGCCCCCGCTGGTTGGCCCTCCTTGGGTAGGAGGACTAGGAGGGCCCTTTTCCACCGACTGGGAAAGACCCCCGCTCTGAGGCAGTCCGTGAACAGTCGCCTCAGGCGGGGGCTCAACTCCTTCAGAGCCAAGACCCACACCCTGCCCGGCACTCCGTCTGGCCCGGGGGCTTTTGACTTGCCCCCGAGCCTTTTGGCAGCGGCTGCGAGCTCCGGCTCGGTAACCCCTAGGCGCGACTCCCATCCAAGCGGGGGGCCCTCATACGGCAGGGGTTCCGGCCCCGCCGTGGGAAAGAGGGTCCCCACCACGTTATCAAGCGCCTGGGGGTATGAATATATACTAAAAAATAATATTCTAAATACTACAATAGACTTCTCGTTGTTTTGCTCCTCCCGTAGTACGGTCGCAAACTGTGAACGCCTGCTATTTTTTTTTTTTTTTTTTTAAGTGGGGAAATGCCTACGCACATCCCCGGCCGCCGATGCGGAAGCGACCGAGGATAGTGTGGGACTCGCACCCACTAAAACCCGACTGCCCATCGCGTCATACGTGACGGTATCCGACATCGGCGACCTGAAGACACAATATCTCGTTACATGTTATAGTTTTATATATAATTTATGACAAGTAAGCTTACTCACCAGTTATCTCTGAGATGGGCTGTGTCATGAGATATAAATAACGTTGAAAATAACGAATTAAAGTTGAAATCTGCGGGAAAAATGTTAATTACGACAATTATAGCAACAATCAAATTTACTAGTATTATATGTGTACGACATGGAGTCTCAATTTACCTGAATGTTATTGTTGAATGTCGTTGGTAGTATCCGTGTCGGCCATGTCCTCGAGCTCCTCGTCGTCCCACAAACTCTCGTTCCTTCCAGCGGGATTTCTTCGGTGCCTACGTATCCTCATTCGGTTCCTCTCTTTCATGGCGCGCAAGGACTCCTGCATCTGCCGTTGAAACTCTGATCGCTGCGGTCTTCCAAAATTGTTGTTCTTGCATACTCCATCTGCGAAAGAAACAGATTTCTTTGAAGGACATGAACTACTCGTTTGCTCTCTCTCCCTCTCTCTGAAAACTGAAAATATTTGTTACCATATATAGCCTTAACAAGCCGGGTATTGAAAAGTGGTCGTCGTCCTTCCTCGCGGCCAAACCAGGTGTACGACGTTGCCATAAAGTCATCTAAAGCCTCTTTGAGGCAAAGGCGGACGGCTTCCTTTAAATTAAAGCCACCGATGTACTGAAAAAAATGTACCTAAAACAAATAGCATATTATATACGTATATATCTTTGTTTGACAGCAAAAATAATTTATGTTACTTACAGCATCGGTGTAATCTTCTTCCGTTGCTTCTTCAAATGCCTGCATCTGTTCGAAGTTTGTTATTGGTAATACATTTGGCTTGTGAGGTCCAGTTTGTCGATCCTGCACGCACTTCAATATTTTCTGCATTACTCCAGTCATTTTCCTGAAAAGAAACAAGATAAAGCACGGCAATATTGTCTTTATACTTGCACGAATTAATGTCTATAGTACATGACACTTACTTCATTTCAGCCTCCATAGTCTGCGCTTGTTCTCCTCTTTTCCTGTAAGTAAAAATTAAATAGTTTTGATATATAAAATGTTTATACAAAGAAACTTAACTCGCTTCGATATATTTCAAATGTAGTTAACACGCACTTTTTAGGAAGCGGATGAAGCAATTGGATGGATTGTATTTCTCTTCTAAAAAGTGCGTGTCAATCGAATCGAATTTCGAACGAAGTCTATGGAAAATGTGGAATGTATCGAAGTTGTCTTTAAATCCTAAGGTTTGTTCGCGTTGCATGCCCCAACGTGCTCCTACTCGCTCCAACGCACTCTGATTGGTCCGCGTGTTAAGGTGAACGAATCAGAGTGCGTTGAAGCGAGTGGGAGCACGTTGGGGCATGCGACGCGAACAAACCTTTGAAGTCGTTTTTCCACGATGCTGATTGCCTGATCGTTACGGCTACGTTCGTACCACTTCCAGCTGTCACATAGTGGTTGCGTTCGATTCGATGCTTATAGGTTTGTTCGAGCTGCTTGTACTTTTCACACTTTTAACCTAATGCCCGTTGCACACTAGTGCACTCCAAACAACACAAATTCTCCGAAAAATACGTTCTGAGGACGTTTTTAGGACGGAGGAATGTCATCAGAATATTTTTAGGAATTCCTTTGAAGGTGTGAGCTACCTGGAAATGGCTAATGTCCAATACATTTATTCGCGTTGATTGAACTTTTTACAATTTCACACTTAGTGCACATTACTTTACAGTTTCTAAAAATGACGTCATGATTTCCGCTCGTTTTACGAATGTAAATGCAATTCTGATACACTTTTTACACGTGGCCCCGAGCAAGAGTGAAAAGTGTATCATAATTGCATTTACACTCGTAACACGAACGGAAATCATGACGTCATTTTTAAACCTCAAAAGAATTAATATGCACTAAGTGTGAAAGTGTAACAAGTTCAATCAACGCGAATAAATTTTTTGAACATTAGCCATTTTTAGATAGCTCACACCCAATCAGGAAAAGATATTTAAAAATCATTTGAAAAAACATTTTTAAAACGTTCAATATAATTAGATAAGTTCACTCTTTTTCATTAAAAAAAACATTTTTTTCAACGTCTGTAGAAATGTTTTGCTTTTTTTTAATATTTAATAAACGTTTATTTTAATATTTAGAAAATGTTTTTCTAAAATATTTTATATAAACGTTTATTAAATATTAAAACAAGCAAAACATTTCTTCAGACGTTGAAAAAACGTTTTTAAAAGGAAAAAGAGTGAACTTGTCTCATTATTTTTAACATTTTAACAATGATTTTTAAAATGTTTTTTTTAATATGTTTATAAATATCTTTTCCTGATTGGACACCTTCAAAGGAACTCCTACAAATATTCTGAGAACATTCCTCTGTCCTAAAAATGTCCTCAGAATGTTTTTTTTTTAGAATTTGTGTTGTTTGGGGTGCATTAGTGTGCAACGGGCATTAGGTGTAAAAGTGTGAAAAGTACAAGCAACTCGAACAAACCTTATGAGCGCTTATGCGTGCAATATCTATAGTTCATGTTACGTTTACTACTCAGTAAAAATCGGTGAGAGCATGAGTTCTTGAAGTGCCCTTTTGTGAACATGTTGCTAACTGGGTATAGATAAATGCGTTCATATATGCTCATAAGCGTTAAATGGAACGCAGCCTGTAACATATCAGGTTGCGTTGTGCATGTGAATTGTGTGTGCACGATTATAAAAATAACAGTAATATTATATAGAAGACCCCTCCTCACCTCCCATTTTGACGAAAATATTATAAATAAACGCGCTCATTCAACGCGTTTTTGTATAAAGTAGAAGAATCTGGCTGAAACAAGTGTCACTCTGCCTCGCGAAGCGAAATATTTAGCGTTAAAGTTAGTCACATTCGAGGTTAAGAAATCTGTCATATGAACGTCATGCGAACTAGACTGAAATGCGTTGTAGAACGCAATTTTTTGCATAAAATAGAAAAATGTGCCCGAAAAGTGTCGCTCTGCCTCGCGAAGCGAAATATTTAGCGTTAAAGTTAGTCACATTCGAGGTTAAGAAATCTGTCATATGAACGTCATGCGAACTAGACTGAAATGCGTTGTAGAACGCAATTTTTTGCATAAAATAGAAAAATGTGCCCGAAAAGTGTCGCTCTGCCTCGCGAAGCGAGATATTTAGCGTATGCGTAAAGTATGCGTCCCATAGCACAAACGGACGCATACGATTGCCTACTTGAGGCATACGCTAAATATCTCGCTTCGCGAGGCACAGCGACACTTTTTTCGGCCAGATTCTTCTATTTTATACAAAAAATTGCGTTCTGCAACGCATTTCAATGCAAGCCTAGTTCGCTTAACGTTCATATGACAGATTTCTTAACTTCAAATGTGACTAACTTTAACGCTAAATATTTCGCTTCGCGAGGCAGAGCGACACTTTTTTCGGCCAGATTCTTCTATTTTATGCAAAAACGCGTCGAGTGAGCCTATTTTCATAAAAATGGAAGGTGAGGAGGGGTATTCTAAATAATTACCAAAATAATATTGTGCAAAGGCCAAATGGCGCGCACGATACGCGCGTTGTATGGTGTTATATAAAATAACAAGTACATGAGATATCTTATGTCAGTCTCCAGTCTATGAAAGTGTTCCTCCATTCGGTATAACTGCTGCTCCACTCTATGCAAGTGTTCCTCCATTCTCCTGTAATAAAATTAGCGATTACTAATAGTTCCTAATATTAATAGGCACAAATTTTAATTCCTTACATAATTACAAATAAAACAAATATGTATGTGTTGTACCACTACCTATATGTTACAATAATCTTCTTCCCAGCAAACACGTTACATGTAATATACATGTTAGTTATAATTTCCTACTCATTAATATAACTATTATATAACATGTATGTTATATAACAGTTATATTGTTGAGTAGGA